ATTTATATTATTAGTATTATAAACAACATCTAATAAACATGTAAAAATATTTATTATAAACTAGTCACAATCCTTTGGCCTGGAACAATCTAATTGATATTTAAATAGTAAAAGAAGACAATTGTAGATAATCAAGAGTAAGTTAGAAAAAAATCAGTCTAACATTTAAAAAAGCTTTAGGCACAAAATACATACATAATTAATTAATTAAGTATTAGCACAAATCATAAACCTGAGATTCTTAACTAAAATAAATAATAGCGAAACATTAGCAGTACTTTTGTGTGCACATTGAAAGTTAATTACAAATAGATAATAAATCAGGAAGAGTAAATTTACATTATAAATTCTGTAGCACTAAATAAAGCAAGTACAATTAATAATATATGTATGTGTAAATAATCCCAACGCAAGAAAAAATAATCTACACAACATGCAGAATAAAAAATATGGTACTTATATCTGTATGTTAGAGGGTGTGCTGAAAAAAATCAAAAACTATGATCTCTTAACCATGGAAAAGATAACCATGTAGCCTTAATTTCTCTGAATTTGCTGTTATGAAATTTTCCTGCAGTTCATTTTGGGAGAAACTACATTATCTTGATAACATTTACCTATTGACTAACATTGTGAATTTTGTAGTTTTAGAAATGTAGGCTTTAAAATAAAACTTTAAACTTTGTTTTTTGGGCTCATCATTGGGAATATTGTTTAAAACAATTTAACTACATATTAATGCATTTCAATCAAAAAAGCTATTTTGTTTCAACATACCCTACTAAACATAAGATCATGAATAATAATTAAAAAACAAATAATTACTTAAAATTCATCATGCCTTGTTAAAGCTTCACCAAAATCAGTTGCTTGAGATCCCACAAATACATCGTATTTGTCCAAAATTTCCTGTTTTGTTAATTTCTGGTCTGCATCTGAATCGGCCTCATAAAGTAAATGACGGGCTTCTGCTTCAGAATGATCAAAATCTGGTGGCAAAATCCAATTTTTGACCTCTTCTTGATCCATATAACCATTTCCATCCTTGTCCCTGTATGTAGTGAAATGAAGTTTTTCACTTTGGACCCAATCAGGCTCTAATTCGTTTTCATCAGACTGGTACAAGTCCCCAATGTATTCTTTCAAAGATATCTTTCCATCTTTATCTTTATCTATATCTTCCATAGTTTCCAGCACCACAATATCTTTCATATGTTCAGTTTCTTCTGGGTGCAAGAAGGCCCCAAATTCTTCTTTGGTGAGTTTGTCATCACCGTTGGAATCAGCTGCTGACCATCTTCTTCTATCCCTGTTCATCATGTTGGTGTATGAGATACCAGCATCTTCTTTTTGGGCATCAGCAGGGTCCATATGTTCCAAAAATCCATAAATAACACTCTTGTAGTCCTCCCAAGACACCTCCTCCTTTCCATCTGATGTGTGCTGTTTCCAATGCTTCTCTATATCATCTGTGATATATCTCTTTTGGGTAAATTTTATCCAGTCTTTCAGCTCTTCTTCAGTTACAAATCCATCATTATTTGTGTCTATTTTGTCAACTATAATCCTGAAAAGATAAACATTTTAACAACTCCAGCATATTCCACTGATCATTTACTTACCCTAATCTTCTCATGCTTTCTTCTGGTGGTAATTGGTCAAATGTCCTTGCCTCTTCCCCCAGAAATGCTTCATGATCATACTGTGGATTGTGATGTTGATTTTCATAATGTTCCTTGTCGCTTAATTCTCTATCATAAACCCTGTCCTTTTTTTCTTCTGGTTTTGAAATTGCTACAGTTAAAATAGCTAATAATAAAACTAATTGCCTCATGACTATATCTTTGTACAGCAAGTACCTGCAAAGAAACACGAATGAATTTCTTCCACATCATCACCAAAACCACCCACAATAACCTATAAAAATTAAACCAGAAACTTACAGGATTTTAATAAGTAAACGTGTATTCAATAATAATACAAATATTAAATCGCAATTAATGTAATAATTTAAGCAACTTATATTAGTAAAACGTGTGATTATCATTCATGAAAGCCATAATTTATAAAGGTTCCAACTCACCAGCACACTTCACGCGCAACTCGACTCTTATTTAATGAACAATAATCGTTTGAACTATAAACATAGGAAATAAATTACTGTCACTAATAAACGAGCTTACTTATAAGCTTTTTTCTCACTAAAACACATATTTAATTAAAAAAAGGTGTGTGGGATTTGTTTGAATTGCAATTTAAAAACTATAAACAGTGTAGGTGGCAGTAGTTTCCCAATAATTATGCTTTATTTTAATTAAACCATGGTAGATGTCAGCAACAGTCCGTTAACATAGTAAATAAAATAATTATTGGTAAGTAGATAAACTTAGAATATAAGATACTTTCTCATTTTAAGTTATTATATAGTTTAATAGATTATTGCACATTCATTTGGAACATTTACGAAAAATAAATACAATAGTATAAAATGGTGAAATAAAATAATTTTTAATTTTGCCAGAAGATGTCAGACCATTCTGCTTTTAAACTTTTAAATAAGTTTAATATTTTATTTATCTAGTTAGAAATAGTATATTTTTTGCTATTTAAATGCTTCTTAATTGCGGAATTACATTTCAATTAAAGCCAATCTCAATTTTTTGCTTCAACAGGACTTGCGAATATAAATCTTTAAGTTTATAGGACTAATTTATTAATGTTATTGTTATTCTTTTTTAATCAAGGCAACATCACGAAATCGGGATAAAATACAAATTCTAAAGATGCAAAAAATCTCCACTGCTATTTTATACTTATATTTTTGTGCTTATATTATTTATATCTAAACATACAAATACAAAGGTGGCTGTTGTTATTTTCGCATTTGTTTCCCCCACTAAAGTGACGCACTATGAAGCTTTCGTTAATTCGGAGTCATTTTGTTTTCGGAAAAGCCGCGTCTTTATTTATACAAAAAATTAGGTAGTTAAAAGTGAAAATTAATCATTCGTTTTGGTGTATAATGCATTTCAATACCTTAAACCCTTTGCTTTCTACAGATGTTGCCGTGGAATGGTAAGCCTTATTCGTTTAATTCTCGATTTTGAATAAACATGACTTGTTGATATGATTACCTACTTGGATTTACCAATGTTTTTAGGATAATTTCTTTGTTTTAAGCTTTTTATGAAATGATATTATTTATTTATGTTAGGAGTAGCAATAACAAATGTTAATAACTTTCAATTATTTAATTCAAGAATTAAAATTCAGTCGGTATATATCATTTTTACTTACTGTAGAGTTTTAAGAAACGTGCCAAATTTTTAAATCACTGTTTTCGTACAGGAACAATTGTATTTTCTTTGAAAAGAAACAGATACACCGACGGAATTTATAAACTTCCAGAATCAGTAAACCTAACGAATGAGGCTTTTTGGAAGACATGTCACGGAAATGTACAAAAAGCCAAAACGAAGGGCTCTTTTGAGAATTTAGGTCTCTAAATTAATTAGATTATCCATTACGTATTTCGCAGCTAAAACTTTATCTTAAAGTTATATTTTTTAAATAGGGAAAGGACTGTATAGTTTCTATAGAAAATCATATAAAACTCGAAAAAACAGGAGATAGGTGTAAGTAGGTGTCACATCAAATAAAAAGTTAAAATAATAACGTGATGTATAGCACTAAAACCTTTCGGCTTAAGGAGTTACATAGTTTTAAGGAAATATTAGTTTTGCGCAAGAAGTACCTAATAATTAATCATACGAGACACTAAGCTGTTAAACATTAGCCATAAAGTAAAATAGATGCTATAAATATTAAAAATTAGATCACACCATTTTTTAAAGAAACCAAAGCCATGCATTTTCAAAATGGTGAAACTGTTTTATTTTATATCCGATCTAGTTTCCGTTTCATTGCTAATTTTTAACATCATCAGTGAATAAAATTTTGCAATTGTGTTCCGTACAAAACACAATTACATACCTATTTACTATCTTTTGTAAGAAAAAAACATTTTTCATACTATAACTTCTGAAATAACGAAATAAAATGTATTTGTTAACAATTTTGTAAATTCAGACATTTCAATTGAAGTTCCCAATATAAAAAATTAAAGAGTTAAAGCAGTAAATGTTTTATTAACATTAAGGGAAAATAGCTACAATCTACAAGCCCAAGTAAAACACAAAGATACTACAATGATTATTAATATTATTTATAATAAGTACTTATTAAAATAACTACTGAATTGTGCGTTAAAAATATTCCCGTTCATGTTGACACGATTACATACAATCGGGATGGAACAGGTGCATGTGTTTTCCCGCTACACACCCTTTAGTGTTGTGACTTAGAGTGGTACAGTGTCCAATTGTTTTCTTAAGTACTTGAAACTGCATTCTGCAAGGTGCACCATCCGACACGGTGTCCTTAAATCAAAACTAAATTAAGTATATTTCTCATTAAAACACGTTTCGACGTCCAGTTAAGGATGTTTGGGAGGTATGTCAAAATGCTACGAGACAAATAAAAATTTGGAAGAACGTTCCTCATTCAATTCTAGAACTCCTGTAAAAATTATAAATCGATTCACTAAACTGTTAAAAAGTAATTGAAATTTTAAAAAATTGTAATTTTACACGTCATTTTATGGAGATTCGTTAACCGAACAGATTAAATTTATTTTTATTAACAGAAAAAAAGCTACCAGAAATTTCAAACTTTTATAATAAGTAACTTGAACTCTGGAGAATCACTTTAGCGTAAGGTTATTCAAATTCACTAAATGGTTATCGAGGAAAAAATGAAAAATTAGCTGAAAATCTCGTTTTTACTTGATAATATAATGATAATATTTATAATTGTCTGAAATAAATGCAATTTTAAAGTTTTAATTATTATTTAAACATATTAAAAAGTTTTACGCTCATTATTAATAGAGATTGAAACTAAATATTTTTTTGTTTCGAAGTTGAAATCAAGGCATATTCACTGCCAAAAGTCAGTTAAAAATTTTCCATATTATTCGTTATTTCTTATTTTATTCAAAGTTTTTGGTCAAATTCCAAATTTTCTCTCAAACCGTATACTTCTTTTTAGTATAGATAGTATTTATTTACCTCATGATATGCTGCAAAACCTAATTAATCACGAATTTCTAATTTTATGTACTCTTGTCTCCGATTGTACCTCCCAAACATCCTTAAAGTCAGTCCCTAGCTGGAAATGGCAATTACATAAAATTATGAAAACAGCAGTCAAAAATTATTAATAATATTAATGTGAATGTGATTTTGTTTGTTTATTACGATTTCACGCTTTAACTATGCAACCAATTATCATGAAGTTTAGTGTATGCATTGTGAGGGACATAGAGTAGCTTTGATCCAGAAACAAAAAGCTGTTCCCGAGGAATATAAAAAATTAGTTTATTTGGTCGTCGATGATCTTTGAGACGCATCACGGTGGGTAAAAGTTTTGAAAGTAAACTATACCAATTACCTTAGGCTTACAAATAATTAATAAATGCAGTAAAATTGTAATTAAAATAAGAAATAGCAGATTCCAGAAACTTGGAGTCTTATTTAAATAAATGTCAATAGTTTTTATTAGATACTTACTTGTTCGAATGAGACAAGTTGGTCTTGGTTGTCTGATGCATTACTATCTTCGACGATAATATTTTTCGGAAAATTCATCGCAAGAACGACCATCGAACAACACAAGTACGTTACGAAGATAGATGTACCGATTTTCATTTTGCTTTTGCTTTTGCTTTATCACTTATGCGTACGGTCCAGGTACAATCTTGAATTGAATTGTGGCGTACAAGGGCGATAAAGCCGATTTTATTGTAGCAAGGCTACTGCTATACGTCGAATCCTCACAAATGCATCCCAATCGCGGAAATATTCATTAAATGAAGCATGAAAAATGAAACGAGTTTCAACGGCGTTATTGTTATTGCATTATTTTTTCTATCGATTGCGAAGGGGAAATTTAGGAAATTCTCAATTATAACATCCTGTTGCTCGAGCAGGGGAAGCTTTGAAAGAAAAGGGGATTGCGAAAGTAAACAGCATCTGTCTGTGTTTACTTGGATAATTTCCCGTTCGAAAACACTTTTCAAAGCGATTCTAGGGTTTTCTGGTAAATTACGAACTCTCAAGATTATTCACTACAACAAATCTCTATACTTTTGAAACACAAAATTAACAAGTTTGAGGCTTACAACTTTTAACATCAGTTTTACAAGTAATTTCTTATCTAGCATCACTCATCTAGAGTGTAGGCACCTATGTTGCGGTTAACAAGCTTACCTGGCTAGTTTGTAAAACTAGCTGGATAGTACACGAACTGTCCCAACGTCTGGTTTAATGTATATGACTAGGATTATCAGGTTACGGTAGAAGACAACACCCCCGAAGAAAATGAAAAACGAAAATTTACCTAAATATTAAAGCAATATTCACAATTTATCCAACTAGTCCGTTGCGTCGTAAGCGAAAATAATAAAAAATACAATTTGGACTCGAATTTGTAAAAATAAAATTCCAGCAGAAATAAATTTATTAGGTATTTTAGTTGATATTACAAATTTAATTGAAATAATTGAGAAACCAGAAATTATTTTTAAAGAAACATGTCAAAATTGAGATCATTACAAGTTACCTAATAAATTCTACTATTTCTACGACAAATGTAGTCATTTACAATCGAAAATTGTAATTTTTGCGTTGTCATAAAAATTTAGTTTTCTCCGTGAATAGAAAATTTATGAGAACCACAGCATCCCCTTCATGAGTTGGTAATCTGATAGCTAACAAACTAGCCAAGTGTCTATCTATGATATATATAAAATAAATAAATTGGCCTAATATTATACTAATAATAGTAATTGCTTTTCTGCATTTCAACATATTTAACGTATTTAAACTGCAGAAGATAGTAACATCGTAATTCAGACTGAAACATCAATTTTGTATAGGTAATGATAATTAAATTTCGTTTTTCTTTTTATTCAAGCATACGCTTTCTATAGGAAGAAAATTTTGAAAGATTAGTTCGTAGTTTCAGAGATTGTTGATTGTTTCGAATAAACAGAAAAGGTTTAACATAAAAAATTAATCAATGTCTCAATATACCTATCAATATGGTAATGACGTCAATAGTAATATTGGAAATCGGTCAGAAATATCAAAACTGTTGAGAAACAATTTCAAAATTTTTGAGCTATTTTCTAGTAAAAGTTTTGATTAATTTTTTGTGTATACGCTTTTTTAATCATAATAAACTAATAGATTTTCGTGCGGGATCCACAAAAATATAGTCGGTTTTCTTTGCACCACCCTAAAGTAATTGTTCCCTACACAACCAATACTTCAGAATTGCCATTATGATTAGTAGTAGTAATATTTTAATTACAAGTTATAATAAGCTATTTCATATCGCATTTTTAAAATTGAAAATTCTATTTAATTAAGTTCGGATCAATTAAAACAAAATACATTTTTAGGCTTGTATAGGTCAGACAGTTTAATAAGTCAGTCTGCCGCACTCTGTTTGGGGCTGCAACTGGATTAAATAATAATTAATAAAGAAACATTATTAGCTTGTTGAAATAAATAGTTTATTTTACATCTGTTATCAAAATTACATGCATTTATTTAAAACATTTTCGCTTTCATTAACATCACGTATGTCCGCCGGTTTTCACATACAATCGGTGTTGAATAGATCCATGGACTTCCCCGCGACACAAGCCTTTGCACTTTTACCCAATTTAATGCACTTGCCAATAACCTTCTTCGTTATTTTGTATTCGATTGCGCATCTGTCTTTCTGACTTTCTTCTCTCTGATGCAGGAACGCTTTGAAATTTCCGTTGGTATTACTAAGGTCATTCGCTTCCATGATGATACTTTTGGGAAAATTTTCTCCACCCACCGCCATCGTTCTAAATAACGACATGATGAAATAGAGCACAAATACGAACCATGAAAATTTCATTTCTGCTGTTGTTGATACTTGGTACAAGTATTAGATGAGAACAGATGAAAGAATTGCCCCGAGAAAAAACTGTTCAGCTTTTATAAAGCGCTGCCCGCCCCTCATCCGAATGCGAATAATAATGAGTTTTGGGACTCTTAACAAAATAAACGTTGTATATTTTCATAATCAACGAGCCTGTTTTCGTTGCGAACAAGATTCGGAAACGGAAACGTCCTTTTATTAAATTTCTCATACCGTCATATCCGGCCGTAGGAAATGAAAGCTGAAGCGTATTTATTACATCGGCCAATTACAATTTATTTTCAGCGAAAATACCGTACGTACAGTTTGGATGAATTAATTCTTTCTGGTTCGATATCGGTGTTTTTTTGTCGCCCAAACACTTCCTGTTTTGTTGCTTCTGTCAAAGAGAAACAAGGGAAGAAGTCCTGGAAATCATGGTCATAGTGTACTCGCTGAGCCCGTCCAAATTTGGACAATGGGTATTTCGTTATCAATGGTATCATTATCATAAGACGTCGGTCCTAAGACTGGTTGGACACGCACCTTCACTCTTTCCTATCATGAGCTAATCTTCTTAAAACTAGAACATATCCCATATCCTTAAGTATTTGCGAACAGTAATCTAATCCAGGTCTACCTCTACCCCTCCTAACTTCCGTTTCTACCTCCTATATGTCTCTGACTAGACCTTCATACCTGAGAAGGTGTCCTACCAACCTATCTCACCTATTTCCTATTGATTTCCATAGAGTCCTCTTACTCTTTTTAATACCTCTTCATTTCTAACCTTCTCTGTCCACGGTATCCTCATCATTCGCATGTAACACCACATTTCGAACGCTTTTAATCGTTTATTTTCCGCAGCGCCCATTGTCCATGTTTCGTACCCGTACAGCGCCGTGCTCCAAACGTACACCTTTAACAAGCTTCTTCGAATTTCTAAATTAACAGTTAGCAAGCGTAGAAGTATAGAGCATTTAATTTTTAATTTCAGCTACATCATGCCCTTAGAACCAAGTGTACACCCGAATATGCATATTTAAGCCCCCGCATATTTTTCTGTGTAGTATTATCCTGAATGCGTCAAAATTGGTGATTTATTAAGGGTTAATTAGATCTACTTCCGATATCGGCGGTTCGGGGATGTTCTTGTTCTTCTAATTTTGATGTGTTCGAGGTAGAATTAAATAATTACAAGATATATTTCTTAAAAATTTTTTTTTTATTTTGGGGTAGAGATTTGGGCCTTATTGATAGTCGTCCTTTTTTGTATACTTGAGGACCTTAACGATAAATTCTTCTTAATTTTTCGGCTCATTTTGCTCATTCATTAATAGCCGCACTTAAAATAACAATATCGTTTAATCGGTAAGTTCCTTATGCCTTTCGTGTTTTAACGAGATCGCTCAAAGTGCCGAATTTATGCTAGCCCCAATTTAACAAAGCCGCCCTTTTAAACCCTCCTGCCGTCAGTCCGTTTAGGGGCATTAATTCGGTATTTCCTCCTAATGTGAACCGAACATTTGCAGAAAACACTGCGTGGAAATTGGAAAAGAGTGATAGCTCTAACCGCCTAGAGATATTTTTAACTTTTAAATTCGGCTCGAAAGTTTGTTATAATGACGACGACCGGGCTCATTAATTTCTTTTGATATCAAGTGAAGCTAATTTTAAACAGATCTCTTTTCTCTTCCACTTCGATTACATTCATTTTGAGTTGGCTGCGTTCAAGAAATTGCTAGATAAAAGTACTTCGTCTTTTTGGGACTATCTATAAATTATACCTATGTAACGTAAAATTCAATCGTTTTTAACCCCGTCTTGCCCCACGTAACAGGATCGTAATTTGTGGCCTGCCCCTACTTGATCTCATCATTGTATTAGGTAAAGAGTACGTTATAAAAGTTTTGGACTTTGAATTCTAATTTTTAAATAAACAATATAATACTGATTAAACACAAAAAAGTTATCTCGAAAGTTGTAACTTTAAATATTTCCATTCCATATTTCTCTTTCAAAAAAGGTTTTCTAAAATTTGTACCAGCCGAAATACGACGTAGCACACGCTCTTTATTACTTTTCTTAATGTTCTAAAAAAATTGTTTGAAAAGGATTTGAATATTATTTTTTCTCTGAAAAACATAAACGTTTCGTCTCAGGGACGTAGCTGCGATGCTATCGTATCACGAACAATATAGCATGAAATGTAGCTCAAAGCAAAAAAGATAAAAGGAACACAGCTGGTTTTTGTGTAATAACGTTATAGTAACACAAATATAGTCATATCCAGCCGCTACCTATACAAATCATAAAATAATAAAAAATAGAAAAATTTTGTTTGGAATGGCAAAAAGTAGAAACGTGGTTTTCGCTATTCATATTGTTATCACTCTAAAATGTAGCAGTATATAGTTGAAACGTTCAAAATTGGTTTGGTCTGCAAATAAACTGTCGCATTTACTTTCTTCTTTCAACTTATTAACCAGAGTAGAGCGGTTGCGAACGAAACGCCTACTTTTACTCACAACAGAATATCGTAAACACAGAAAAGAGATGTCAGGTAGGAATTGCAGCGGACACTAGTAAAGAAAATGGAATAGCATTACATTAATTGATGTGAAACTGAAAGAGGTGCATACAAGTAGTATTTGAGCATTTTGCTAACATCTGACTTTAAAGAAAGTTCAACTTTTTCAGGAATATAGGAAAGCAAGACGCTTATTTAAAGATATAATTTCAACTAGGCGGCCTGATTTTTTGCGCACGTAAACAACCTCTAACCGCTGCACCGATTACTATTATTCGGTTATCTCTTTTCACTTTGTCTGTGCTCTTCATGAAGCATTTCCTAACTTAACAAGGACTTATTCAAAACGCAGCAAATGACTACAGTGCCAAGTAGAAACAAGAATGATGATACATCCATTCTTACAGATAAATAATTTACTGTGGACTTTGCCAGTTTTTATCGTCCAGACTATACATACGTCTATCCAATTAATGTTACGGATTTTATTTGAGAAATACCTGTGACGGGCAGCAATAAAAAAAATAAAACAACAAACATGAAGATAAATCATATCATTCGCCTGATAACAACGGTTTTGTCTGTATATGATATGATAATAAAAGCAAATTAAGAAGAGAAACTGAATATTTGAAGTTGGTTCGCCTTTCGTCAAAATCCCTTTAACTACGCTACTGGCCGACCATTGTGCCGCACGTATCCTTGGAGTTAAAGAAGCATTTGCTGTTATATGTCTTTCGTTTTTCTGCATGGATAACTTGATCGCATTTCATTGCTGTCTGCTTCTAGTGATGTAAAACTCCGGATGCTAAATGCTTTGAGGTTTATACCAAACCCGAGGCTCAATGGGTTTCTCGCATTAAATTTTAATTTTATTACGTACTTAGTGTTGTAACGTCTTAAACGAAGAACTTAACATGGAAAAAGTAGAGTCTTTTCATTGCTGTTACACGTTAACTTTATCGGTGGTGTTGAAAAGTTTTCGTTGAATAAAGGCAGATAAACTCCACCAACTCCGAGCAGCTTTCAAGTGACTTCCGCTTCATTAATTTGTTACCGTGTTCTCTATTAAGTGATAAGGACTAAATACGATAGTTTCTTGAAGTAATTGTTTATTAAGATTCCTTATCTCGAAGGGAAAAGCCGGGACCTCTTTGGAAACAAAATATGAAGAGGTTTTATGATAAACAAGAATGAATGCAATCAAGAATAATATAATTTTTTCGCATGAAAAATAAAAATGATTTTCAACCAAAAGCTCTGTTGTCACATTTCTTGGAATATTGCGAAATGTGTAAAATAAGAAGGAACAGGACAGTCTATATAAGTACTCCTTAAAAGAAAGATATCGTGCAATTTTACCAAACGTATAAGATCTTTAGGAAGGTAATTAAAAAATAAAATGGAAACGAAAAGAAATGATGTTTGTCAGTAAATTATGTAAACTTAATAGTAAGCAAACGTAATATGATTTAGAATACGAAGCTGAAGATGAAGTTATTATGGGACTAGCAAGTCTGTAGATCACCATCTGTAGATCAATATTTACTGCCAACTATAGTACTTCAGAGTATAGTACACATAGGTTAAATAAAAGCTATTTTGGTGACATTATCAAAACGTATTGGCTTTATTATATTTTAGACATATACATGTAGCTTGAATTTGAATCGAGCAAGAACTAGAAGAGAGAAAAAATGGTAATAGGTTTAGCTTCAATAGTGTATCTAATAACATTAGGTTAGCGACGTATGTGAGATATACGGGGTTATTATAAATCAAATTTAGAGTCGCGAACGACGGTAACTTTCCCTTGAATTCAAATTATCTGCATAATATAATAATATCTATATTCGGCATTCCTCCCTCCAGTTCGTTTATTATTCATGCCTGCAAGCTGATCGTGAGATAGATATTAGATACGAAATCCGAACCAACGAGTTGGTTTCGTTCTCTTATGTAAGTTCCTACACATACACCAAAGTCTCATCAATCATTTCGCTATCTATATTCTTGGAAAATTCGTGTTCACGTCCCGCGACATGTCCTTAATGGTGCAGTTCACGGGGAAAAACAACTCACTTTCTCGTTAACAAGTCAACCAACGGACCACCTAATAAGAATCCACCCTAACGATGACAGTGTCTTTCCAAAAATGATCTTTCCGTTGGAAAACATTACAAACCACACAACTTTTCTACTTCAACTTTAAATTTGTTTACTTATTTAAAACCAAACCTCCATCGTTTCGCCTTTTTGTGTGACAGCTTTATCAGGACCAAAAAATTATAAAACTGTTAGGAATAGAGATGCATACTAGGTGATTTAACGTGTTAAATTCTATAAGTCATCTGCTCGATTCCATATCCAGCCTGCTCTGGATGATTTAGGCGTATGCAATCTTCCACTAATAATCTTTTCTTATGTCTTCATTTCGCCCGTCTCTCCCAATACCACCCTCTCATTCCCCCAACTTCTAAAAGACAGCCTTCCGCCTTATCTTCCGGAAATTTAATAGAGGGTAGGACGGATAGTCCTAAAAATATGTGGGAGCAAGCACACTTGAATGAATTATGAATTGAAGAGACGGTAGGTAAGTTTCGTCAGGGCTGAAAGGAACCACCAAATATAGATGCAGACTCCGGATTTTTCTGCCCTGGTCCAAGTTTTCCTGGGATTTCTCTGGATCACTTGGACATACGTAATTTTCCATTACTTTTCTTTTATCTAAATTTTGTCCGTTTCATCTTTTCAAAGAAAGTTTTTAATTTTAATTCTTTTTTATACAAAGGAAATATAAACTATCGTAAAGTGCTTTTCACAATTTCCTCAAATTTTTAATTAAATGTTTCAGTCTAATGTTTGCGAGTTATTTTAAGTATAAAAATGCAATTAAAATTTAATCTTAACTAGTCCATTGGTTTACTAGTAATTTATGGAAAATGTAACTAGAATTCTCGCTAAGTTTTCGGAAGAGGCTGATAGCAGAAGTAATTTTCAACACTTTCTGGGTAAAACTGTAAACTACAATAGCAATCATTAGTTTTTTATTTAAAATTGTTTGAATAAAATTAATAAATGTTACACAACGCAAGAAAGAACATTTAATTTTTAAAAATAAATGTCCGATACAATTAGTTAAATGTTTAACAAAAACATGTAAAATGGACGGGGACCTCTGCCATTGTCAATTTTGATCAAAATTGTTATTATACAATCAAACAAAAGTGGTTGTATCAGAGGATAAAATTCAGGGATATTCGTTATCGAAATCGCTAGTGGATATTTTTTTTTTTCGATATCACCGTCACGTTTCAAGATACGCCCATGAGAGCAAATGTTTTAACAAATTCGTTGGCTAAGCTTGTAATGAATGCGACTCTTTGGAATTGAAAGAAGAAAACGAGGCATCCCTTAGTGAGTATTGATGAAGTCAAAGTCTTTAGGAACTGTAGTTGTAACTGGAAAATGTCATTTGGAGGGAATCCTAACGACCAACAGGGACCGTAGCCGAGTCAACTAACGACCGTGTCATTTCCTGTACGAAAGCAATTTCAGGAACGTAGTTTTCTTGTTGAATTCACACCTAAATTGCTAAATTTATAAAAGAAGCGCATACGGTACAACGTGAGCTGCGTCTCCTGTCGCCTGCCTCATCATCTTCCCCTTTTACATCCGCAACGTAGATTTATTCAAATGAGCATAATTAGAGGACTAAAAGTCATATCTACCGTCTAGTTATCTTGTAATCCGACGTGAATATAAGTGACGTTAATACATGACAGGTGTACCTACTAATAGTATTGCGAAGAACTTTTAGAATGTGAATGATTCTAAATAACCGAAACTTGACAACGAACATAATTATACGTTTAAAATAATTAAAGTTTGTATCAGGGAAATTTTCTGTGAATTTAGCAACCTAATGTGAAAGGGAAACTAAATAAAATAAAATGAGTTAGAAGGATTTCCCCGGATTGGCCAAATTAAACGTTCCCGAATGAAACATTAATAAGTATTACATTTTGAGGTATCTAATTAAATACAACAATTTCGAAAGTTGAAGTTAGCACTTGAAATAACGTTAAATCAAACACTTACTGGCTGAACTATTAAATTATTAAGCGAACTACCGAACATGAACACATCGTTCTTGCTTGCTCATTTGGTCTGGGCCCAGCTTTACTACTGGCGCTGTACATGAAACAATTTCTGCTCTAATCACTAGTTTTCTTAGTTTATACACAATAACGTCGCTTTTTTAAGAAATTACTGTGTTCTGCTTGGCTCCAATCGCATGTATGCATCTGCAGTTTACATTTTCATAAAATTATCGAAGGATTTGTGACTTATTGTATTTTTGGTAAAGCATGCAATATCAATATCTTTCCGTAGGCTTTTTTTTAACTCAGGGTTTCGATTTTATTACGTTAAACGATATTTTCGTTTTGTTGCTAAAGGATTTAGTATTTAAAAGGCTGCACGTAAATCCTTGCAGCTTCTTTTATCTAAGTGATAAAAGAATTTACAAAGGTATTTAAGGAGCCCTAAACAGAAAAGGTGTAAAAAATCCAAAGTTCGCTGGAAACGTCTATTTTATTAACGGAAATAACAAACAAGTATCCCGATTAAACGTGAACGAAAGGTAAGAATAAAGGATTTCTGGGAATTTCGCCCTGAAATATTATGTAAGTAACTACTTATCGGTTATCCTTCAGATCTTATTTGTTGAAAGGAAAATTCAAGTTCTGGGAAAAAAATGAAACAAATACTTCATTAATTTAATAAAAAGAAACTATAATAGAACTCGCAGTATTACCAAAGTTACAACTGATATTATTTGTCTTTCATTTAATTGTTAAAGTTTATTTTCTATTTGTTTTGCTACGAGAAGGTATACATATAACATAATTCACCTTTAATAAAATTGTTATTTCTAATATTTCTAATTTCTTGTGGTCTAAAACATCTTTTATTTTCCAACATTTATTATCCTCTCATATGGATGTTATTTCGTCAGTACGTTACTTAAAAAAAGTGAAAGGCACAAGTTCCTTATCTCTGAGGTCACGAAATAGTATAAAAAGTGTCGTTTAAATTCGTTTAAGTTCGAGTTAAAGAATATGTCAATAAAAATACGATGAGCTTTTAGCTTAGTTTAAATAGATCGGAGAATGTGATGACAAGTACGGCCGTGTTTTGCGTGAAGATAAAAGTAAACGGAAAACAACATAAAATAATTTTTATTCCACTTACCTGTAACTTCTTTTAATATGTATGTATACATATATATCTTATACTTTAGAGCGTAAGTCAACCTTTGATCTTTATTTTCCAGGACTGTATTTCTGTTGGAAAGCTTCAGGATTGCCGGCAGCGACGACTACAGTTGAGAGGTTAGTCTTCCCACGGGAACTTCAAGTAAGGTAGGATAGACAATTGTTTTAACTTTTTCTTATCCAGACATATATATTGGAAAATACTTCGTGCAATTTTTATTCTTTTCGTTTATCATCATATTGATGCAATATAAAATTCTATTCGTCGTTGATTCAATAATCCTCNTTTTTTGTTATTGCGTAGGCATATCGGAAAAGTCTAGCTCAATTTACATTTACAGTTTAGTCTAAGAATACTTAACACTCAACTTATTTTCTTAGGATAATACAGTTTTACCATAAATAAATTTTACAGATCCGTTTGTCTGTAAAAGTAATGAAAGAAAAATCGATTTCACGGGAATTGTACGTTTCAAATGTATTTTAAGATACGCTAAATAATAAAAAAGCCACCCCTTACAAATTCGTATCGCATCAGTTGTATTTCTTTCAGCATTTCCATATATTTTTCGTCTTTTAAATTCTGTAACTACTTTCATTTCAATTTATATGTTATTAGAGCTACGTTTAAAAATTATACATACGCCTGTCTAAAAAGAAACTGATGTTACTATAAGCAGTGGGGTTAAAAAAGAGTACGAATATTTTATACAAGGCGTAGGTACATATAGGTATATCAAGATCAAGATCTATTACATATTATACATATCTATCTCAATTTCAAAGTGAACGAGGAGCCCTTGTTTTAAATTGCATTGTTTCGTCTTTAGTATGATGAATATCGTCAAGTTTTGACAGCATTCGGAGGCGGTTTACGTATATAACTTTCACGTCGTCTGACGACGACTTGCAAGTGGGAGATTAATGCTTCACCCCCTTTGTTTAAACCCTTGTTGAGCAAGGATGTATGTCAGATAATCTTGATTTCATATTCGGCGAAAGATAAATCTTGAAAGTCATCCTTACATCTTTTTAACAGCTACCTACAGTTTAGTGACCATTTGTCATTTTAAGCTACGGCATGAGATTTAAGAAATCTCTACTTAGTAATAATAATAACTATTTAGTAATTTATTAAATATGTAGTTTAAACAATCTATTCTTGTATTATTAAATATTTTAATTGCAACACATCCATAGTTAGCTTTAATATTTTTTATTCAGATTAATTTTGTAGATAATGATGGTAGATGGGCTCTCTCTGTTTGTTTTTTTACCTTGCACTTTTCAGTGTCTTTCCAGTTTCCAAATTTGGACTTATCACATTAAGGAATGGATAAAGTACACTTATTTTCTAATCTATTTTATAATTTTCTAACTTTTAAAAACTAAGCTGCAGTTTTCCTTGTAATAATGTATACTGAAACTATTTAATACGCAAGAGCTCATGGCCCTAGGGGGTCATGATGAAACCGTCGCCCCTGTAGTTATGTCTGATGTAGAGTAGGTATAATTCTGAAATAAGGGAAACGCTACTGCTGTAATAAATACGGCGCCACAACCGATAAATTAATGTAGCATTCGTGTGTGTTGGCGGATATGCGTTAGCATTTGGTTGATAACGTCATGATTAACAGCCTTTCCGATGCGGAATTTCGATACGGTCACGACCCAAATTGCATCCAATATTGTCAAATCCTAACCTCTCGGATTGCGGATATGTCATACAAATTCCGAACATTCGTCGCTGCCAAAGCTGGCCGAGGACGATGCCACGCCAACAAGCAACGAACAATCACTGTCCATGTCTTCTTCGTCCTGGTGTCTTAGTCATAGTTCTATGTTTTCTGGACCTTTCCATGACACTCCTGCTCGGAGTAGATTCGAAAATCTCATAACGGCACTCAAAGCGGCCACCTTTAAGAAGTAAACAACAAAATTACTTGTATATTACAAAAACTATGTGTGTATGTAATCTTAAAGCGCGATTCACACTATACGACGCTACCGTCCCGTCGCCGTTCCGGCACCGGACAGAAATTTACCATCAAATTCACACTTTAGGTATAAACAGCCAGCAGTCAATAGATAGGTGCAGCTGTAGTTTAGTCTAGCATAATGTTTCACATCCTGTGCAATTGTTAAAAATTGGATGAAAATGGTCACGTTTACAATAAAAAAGCCGGGAATAAGTGCATTTATTGAAGAACCGGAACATGAAAAATTAAATATGGGTCCATGATATATATAAATAAAAAAAGAACTTCCAATTTCAGATAACATGTGTGGTATTCTCCCTTGCTCTTTCTTGTTTTAAATATACTTATTATCCTAATTTTTAATTGTTCTTGTTCCATATCTAATGTAAAATCGTCTATGTTTTAATGTGTCATGCAATTTTTAAAAATAGTTGCGCAAAATGTAAAACACCACGCTAAACTAAAATACAACTGTCTACGAAAATGTACCCTCATTTAATTACATTGTATTATCCTAAGGATTTACAAGGCAAAAACTTTGGGCACATAAAAGAACCGTTTTCTTTGTAGTTCTCATTTAAAAACTAAATTATTTGCACATCTTTTTTACTTTCTACCTTTCTACTTACTACATAATTTATCATATAAGTCCTCTTTTTACAGTTTTTCGTATTTTTCTGTTCGACATATTGCTTACACAGACCACTAAAAGTATACGACGGTTTTTTTGTTATTGCGTAGGCATATCGGAAAAGTCTAGCTCAATTTACATTTACAGTTTAGTCTAAGAATACTTAACACTCAACTTATTTTCTTAGGATAATACAGTTTTACCATAAATAAATTTTACAGATCCGTTTGTCTGTAAAAGTAATGAAAGAAAAATCGATTTCACGGGAATTGTACGTTTCAAATGTATTTTAAGATACGCTAAATAATAAAAAAGCCACCCCTTACAAATTCGTATCGCATCAGTTGTATTTCTTTCAGCATTTCCATATATTTTTCGTCTTTTAAATTCTGTAACTACTTTCATTTCAATTTATATGTTATTAGAGCTACGTTTAAAAATTATACATACGCCTGTCTAAAAAGAAACTGATGTTACTATAAGCAGTGGGGTTAAAAAAGAGTACGAATATTTTATACAAGGCGTAGGTACATATAGGTATATCAAGATCAAGATCTATTACATATTATACATATCTATCTCAATTTCAAAGTGAACGAGGAGCCCTTGTTTTAAATTGCATTGTTTCGTCTTTAGTATGATGAATATCGTCAAGTTTTGACAGCATTCGGAGGCGGTTTACGTATATAACTTTCACGTCGTCTGACGACGACTTGCAAGTGGGAGATTAATGCTTCACCCCCTTTGTTTAAACCCTTGTTGAGCAAGGATGTATGTCAGATAATCTTGATTTCATATTCGGCGAAAGATAAATCTTGAAAGTCATCCTTACATCTTTTTAACAGCTACCTACAGTTTAGTGACCATTTGTCATTTTAAGCTACGGCATGAGATTTAAGAAATCTCTACTTATAAATTCAATTTGGTGTTAATGTAATTGTTAACTCTACTTTACTCTTTATAAATTAAACTAAAAGGCTATCTACGTATTTCTATAGTAATTGCCATAGATTAATTGGAGGTAATAGTAATTACTAGATAGATAATGTTAATAATAGAACAAAAGTGTTTTGGAAAAATGTCTCATACTTACGTTCGCTACCGTACGTGATATAAAAAATGCCACTTCTGCTTTGCAAAGACCATCGAATTCCTGAAAAATGAAATGTAATTATATTTGTCATCATCATCATCATAAGGTCATCAAAAGCTGAATTAGCATAATTGTCTCTTTCCCGATAAAACGAATTTTTTCTTATGAAATGGGATATATTTAGGGTTATATTTTAATCCTACAAGAACGGTTCATGAAACACATTGCATTTTGATTTGATGTACATCATTTTTTATTGTAAGAAGAACTCCGTTTGATTGATTACTATTGCGACATTATTTTAAATTTGATAAGGTTCGTAATTTATCAGTCCGCCTCTCACAATAAACGTTCATAAAATGGTTTTTCTTAGGGCTTTGTGGGCATTCCCTAATTAGATTACTTGTTAAATATTTTATGTAGGTACTTAGATAATGGTAACTTAAGAAATTACCCGAGCTCAGATAATTATATTTGAACTTCTCTGGCAGTTTGGATTATTTAATTACGTTAGGAACGTTTTTTTAGAAAATTAACATTTGCATCATAGTTTTTACGTAATTAATTGTTCAGTTTGCATGTAACTACTTGGAATCACCAATTTTGACATGTTCGAGATGGTAGAAAACAACTGGAGGAAAGCGGATGGGTTTAAATTCTATATTGGGGTATACTATTGGATTGCTTTTGTCCTAATGTCCTAAACATAATGTGTTTTAATTTTGTTCTATACATAATTTTACAATGTGCTAAATGCCTACTCTTCTGAATTTTGATTTGTGCTGTTGTTCACGTGTTGGATAGTAAAAGCAAGTTGCTCTTGCATGTAGAAGAATGTGAAAATTATTCACAGCGCATGAGTTAGCGTTAGTGGATTACTCGCAGTATTTCTATAGGGAATTTTCGAGAAAATGGGATGTCGCCAATATATTTTGAACTGTACAATTCTATTCAACAAAGGCGGAAATTGTGGTGTCGTGAATGAATGTTTATGTACATGTAAAATATATTACACCTACTACTTGAGCTTATATAAATACATGTGCTTAACATCCCTACATTATAAACGTATATACATAACAATTGCCATCGATACATCTCATGCGGGCCTCTGCGATTATTTTGCTTAAATTAATTTGAATAAGTTTGCGTAGGAATGGCGGTATTTAAGAGGGTCTCGGAAGTTGCAGCGTCCTCAATATTTCTGCTGTCATTCGACAATTACACTTGAATTAGGAGCGGAGGAAGTGAATGGAAACGGTTGGAAATATATTGATAGATGGTAAATGTTATTCATTCCGCAGAACTCTGTTCAAACTTCTGAACGACATTTATAGTAAATTAATATCGTGTTATCAGTTGCCTGTAGGTCACGAGTTAGGGGAATTACACGTAGGTATACTTCGTTTACTTTCTGTAGCGATGTGACCTTCAGTTTGACCGG